AAACACACACACACACACACACACACACACACACACACACACACACCCTATTCAGATCACCGATCATCGATGAGGATCGAGATTATGCTCTCATAGGGGATGCCCACTAGCGAATGCTGATCGAGTCGGATCGGGTCGCTTTCTGGCGGTTTCAGTGCACACTACAACCCCGCTGCGATTGTACCCGACGACCTGGAAGTTAAAGTAGAGAAACTTTTAACCTACATGCGACCAGACAGAGGACGTAAGCCGGGCTATGGTTGGCTGAACTTTTGACCCTTGAATACATTAAGTAGATCTAGGCCTACGATATTCTTGAACTTCCCGCACTCCCTCTCTCTATCTGCCCCCCCCTCCCTCTCTCTCTCTCTCTCTCTCTCTCTCTCTCTCTCTCTCTCTCTCTCTCTTCCTCTCTTTTTCCCTCTTTATCTCTCTCTCTTTCTCTCTCTCTCTCTCTCTCTCTCTCTCTGTGTGTGTGTGTGTGTGTGTGTGTGTGTGTGTGTGTGTGTGCGTGCGCGCGCGTGCGTGTGTGTAAACATTGCTAGGTCTCTGCATATATCTCTTAACTTATCTCTAAAACTCCCTGTCACTCTCTCACCACTTTTCCTCTGTAATGCTCCACCTCCTTCTTTCTTATTCGTCTTTTTCTTCCTCTAGGCCTTATAAGCCCTCCAAACCCGCTGTGAGAATTGAGAAGACGGTCAAAGACGTAATGCCGAAACCTGGGATTCCAAGAGTACCGTAAGCCTAGTTAATGTATTCATGGGTCAAATGGACACGCGACTAAGCCTTGTTGTGATTGGCTGAAAGCCATCCGATCGCCCGATTCACAGGCCTGAAAACAAACGCGTTTGTTTTTGTTGGTCACCGACCGAGTCGATCGGTTTGTGCCACGATGGACGCTTTGTGCCCTCAATTTGGCTAGCCCAGACTACCCGATCGGCCCGACCCGACCCGACCCAACCCGACCCAATCGCGCATGTGGGCACCCCCTAACAAGTACATGAACAAATAATGGACAGTCTAAATGACAAGCAGGGAGACAGAAGCGAACGTCCTTTTTTTGATATTACGACAGACTTAGAAGCAGACGGAACGAAAGTCAAGTAGAGCTAGAGAGTGAGGGATAGAAATACAGACATGGGCACCCTCAACATGGATAGATATGGAATAGAAAGGATAGAGAGAGAGGGTGAGAGAGAGAAAGAAAGAGAGAGAGAGCGAGAGAGAGAGAGAGAGAGAGAGAGAGAGAAAGGCGATGGGGTTAAAGAGAGAAGGAGAGAGAGGGAGAGAGATAGGAGAGGGAGAGAGAAAGAGAGGGAGAGCAAAAGGGGGGGGGGCAGAGAGGATGATATGGGAAAAAGAGAGAGAAAAAGAGAGGGAGAAAAAGAGCGGAGGGGTGAAAGAGAGGGGGATAAGGGAAAGGAAGCGAGAGAGGGAGAGAGAGAAAGAGAAGAGAGAGA